TTCTGCTGCTCGAAGACCTCGTTGAGAGCCCGCCTGAAGGTGTAGAGCTTCACACTGGGGAAAACCTCCTCCACGGTGATGTCATCGTAGTCGTTGACCAGCTCTATGATGCGCTGCGTCACCGCATCGTCCGTGAGATAGAGCTGGGCGTACTTGGGAAGGAAGATGGGCTCCAACTCACCGTTGTAGGGTGAGTACGGAAGGGATTCGGTGATGTAGCCACTGGTGAAGTAGCGTCGCATCACGTTGTACTCGAGACAGCCGTGGTAGACATTGGTCATTAACGACTGGTCCATGTAGGAGAGAATGCTGCTTAGCAGAGAATTTCCCTGTTCGACAAACAGTCGTTCGTTCTTGGACAGCTTCACAATGCTCTTAAAGGCATTCGCATAGACCTTGACTTTGTCAAGCATCCGTGTCTGCGCAGCAGAAGTGGGATTTGCCAGCAGTAGGACCTCCATCTCGGTCATCAGCTCCCTGGGATTGCCAAATATGCTCATTAGGGACTCTACGTATAGATATATGGTCCCAACGTCAGCCCTGGCTGCTGGCATCTGAGACTTCAGGTAGTGCCCCTGAATGCTGAGCGACTCGGCCATGTGGAAACTATCCAGCATGTTGGCGTCCGGGCTCATCTTCACATTGATCTCCTGGTAGGGCGCTAGGTAGTACGATACGTACTGTTCCCGCAGCGTCTCCAAATCGTACACGAACCAGCTCAGCTGATTGAAGATGTCGTCCGTGAACTTAGTCGCCAGGCAGGCGGACATCTGGGGTAGCTGTTGCTGGAATATGCCCACGCGCTTGGTGGCCGTCCTCTTGCGCAGCGAATGAATGTCTTTTTGGATGTTTTCAATGGTGTCCTGTAGATACCGCTCCCGGCGCGGACGCGGCACCAGCAGATCGTAAGCGCACTCCTCGGGTAGGAAGTGGATTATTGCTCGAACTGGCTGATGGTTGGCCAGCAGGGACTTGTAGAAATCATTGTCGAAGTGGCCAATGACCAGGATCATGATTTTCGTCGTCAGGGGGTTATCATTGATATACTACAGAGAACAGCAGGTAGAGCAGTGATTTATAGAAAAGGTTTAGAAAAGTCACAATAGTATAGGGAGCAACAAATCCCTTAGTATCCACTCTTTAACTATTTCAAATAGTATCCCGTAGAATTGGACCTTGAGATCTTGGGATTTCTACAGATGGACTGGACGGACGTGGCTCAGCAGGAATAAATAAGTTGCTGCCTAGTATTCGCCTTTTAATTACATACTATTTACGACTTCCTAAAACTGTTGCACATAATTTAACCAACTCGCTTACCATGCGCTTGGACAGCGGCTTCCCTTTGCCAACTTTATGGTGGTCCTTGGCCGTGACAGACACGCACTCAATTTTCTCCATTTTCGGCATTTCGCTAGATCCCTTTTCGGCCTTGGATTTGGTTGTCTTCCTGGAAGCAGTGGCATTGGTGCGCATGGTATCTAATGTATTCTTCGTTCTGGATGCTCGCTCCTTGTTGGGGTCGGTCGAGATATTTTTCAGCTCGGCCGGAGAGTTCTTCTGCCAATATTCATAAAGATTAAAGTGCAGCTCCTGGTCGATATTCCTGCTTATATTTTCGTACTCGGCCACGCTCTCTCGTATTCGTTGCATGGTAATGCTGACGGGATCCGTGGACATTAGCTCGTTTGCTCCTACTAGAAATTTGTGGTGACTGTCGGGCCTGCTGATGGTCCACTTACATATCCACTTACCCGTCCTCTTGGAATACGCCTTTGAGATACGCAAGTCCTGCTGCTGGATGGCCAACTGCACCTCATTTTCTACATCTATAACGAAAAGAGATCGGCGCAGACCGCACTTGATTCGTCTTATAAACTCGTCTCGAAGCGCACTCAGCCCATTGTCGTAGAAGTTAACGCAGTAGATATGATAGGCGTGATCACTCACGGATGGCCTGTTTCCTCGTCGGCTGCTCCGATCCGTGTTCATTGTGTATTACAAAATATATATTTTTGCTACTATATATAAATAATGGATTTTATTATTTTTATTTTATTACAAATATTACACAAATCTCCCAGCGAGCTATTCAAATTTTCAAAGACAACTAAAATTTAGGAAGCCATCAAATATCTTCAAACAATATTAACGCTCTGTCAAACTTAAACCCTTATACAACCCTAGGTGTCAAATGGGATATCAAAAGGAAGGGCAGAACCAAATTACATCCTCACAGAGGGTACTATAATATTAATAAGTATTAATATTAAATCCCGAGTTATCTGTTTATTTAAATCATAATCGCACGAAACTAGTTTAAACGGCACTATTTGTAAATTTGTAAATATTTTAGTAAAAAATTACCTTATGGCTCCGCTGCACGAAATGACAACGCGTTATTTATCGATTTAATAAATGGTTTTTTATTTAATTTATATAGATGCCAATACTAGATCTAAATGTTATGATGCTTACAGGCTAAATGGCCGCTTCTATGTACAAATGAAAGTCGTATAAACTAATTCTACTTAATGGTAATTATCTCGTTTTGGACTGTACAAGCAGGAGATTCGGTTAAAACGAATGAAAAGAAGTACAAACTTAAAGCCTCTTTTAAAACATAAAATAAATAAATGAGAGCGAGTGTGAAGAATAACTGGGATAAATAAGCGAAATAAATACAAATCAGATTGCGGATTTCGAAATGCAGTCACTGGCAATAAAAGTTCTAAGTAAGTTTAGTTGAGATATGTACTATTCATATGAATATCCAAAGCTAATCCTAGGCTAGGCTAACTTATATGGCAGTGATAGGCTATAAAACTCGTAATTGATCACAATACATTTGGAAAAAGTTTTGGTGTGTCGTCAACAGGAACCAGAAACGCCCCGGACGGCGGCCGGATAGTTCTTCAGCTACGTATCATCGCTGGACACGAGGCACTCGCTGAGCAGGACGTTACGCAGATCGTCCATATCGATCCAGTCGCGCTTCTCGTTGCGTATGGACACGTTTCGGATGCAGCCCTTGAAGTTCTCCCTCGACAGCAGCGATCCGCTGGGAGCAACATCTGAAAGGCCAGAGATATAAGTATTTTTGCTTGATTTTCCCATAGAGCATATGTTTGTTCCTATACCTGGCAGCCCGCCTATGTAGAGGGGAGAACGGGTTTGCACCTTGCCCGCGTTCCGTGGGTTTCCAGCACTGATGACGGCTGGCAGCTGATCGATTCGAAGGACAATCTGCTCGCCATCGTAGAGAGCCGAAATGTTATGCCACTTGTTGTCGCACAGGGCATACTTCCCAGGCAATGCCGACTCCAGACGCAGGGGCACTCCATCCCCCAGATCGCAAGAGAAAACGATCTGCAAAATGACAAAGAGATACAATTTAGATGTAATCACGGAACACACTGGATATTCTTCTACATTGCCGTTGTGAAGCTCCAACGATAGAGCTGGGAATCCACTTGGCTCGGACACACTCAGCAATATTCCCGATAACTCCGACGTTCGAAATTCTGTTTCTAGGTCCAGATATTTTCCCACATGAAAGTTTTTCTCTGTCAAAATGAAACAATTGTTAGGACACCAAGATCTCTGTACATTGCTGTACATAACAGGTATAACTCACTATATATGGCATAGGCATCGCCGGGGAAGTAGCTGCCCCTTTCGACGGTGGGAAAGCACTGCCCCACATTCGAGTGCTTGCCGGGACGGGCCAGGTCCTGGGTGCTATTGTTGATGGTAACTCGTCGCAAGCAGCCCTTAAAAGGCTCCAGTCGCATGTAGAGCTCCGATGCCACCTTTACTGGGGCCTGGGGCAGGCCGCCGACCAGCAGCAGCTGCGAGGCCCCAATCTTTTTCGGCAACTTCATTTGGGCGGAGGTCTTCTGGTCCGTTCGGCCGATCTCCACCGACATCGTGACCTTCCGCTCATGACAGCTGACAGTAACCCGGTGCCACTCGCCATCGTTGAGCTTCGCGGTGAGCTGGAGCTCCTCGCGACGACGACCCCGCACGACCAGGACAAGCTGTCCGTCTTTGAGCAGAAGTACCACGTAGTGCTTGGGCTTCTCCTTGCTTCCAGGGGATAGGTAGAGCATGCCGTTGGGATAGAAGGAGCGGAAGTCGAAGCTCAGGCGGAAGTTGCGCTGCCAGAAGCGACGCTCGGGCAGCTTCAGCTGCGAATAGCTGTAAATCTCGTCTCCGAACTTGAACGCATTCGGCTCGTAGGAGTAGCTGCCGATCTGCAAGAAAGAGCCCGAATTAGTCCCGGGACCTACTTAATCTATCGAGGAACTCAACTCACCCCGACGACTTTGTGTTAGTTTCTGAGCTCTAAGCGTAGCGATCTCCCAGAGAGAACACTCCGAGAGATTGGATTGGATTGGGTTAAGAATAAAAACTTTGCCATGATTTTTGTTCGGTTTTTTTTGTTATAAAAATGTTTTATTTGAAACGTGATTTAAAAATGATGTGATAACAATCAAATGTCCGTGTTGTGGTCGCGAAGTAGGTAAGCAAGTGTTAATCGTATCATACATTTATGAAAGCAAAAACGTACACAAAGCGTTGATATGAGTGGTGTGAATCTTAAGGACTAGACTGAGCTCGGAGCCGTACTTATCGTGTAGCAAAAAAGTCATATGAAATATTTACAAAAAATATATGTCGTAAAAAAGATGATTATTAACTATGATTATAGCGCTTTTTTGTGTTAGCCGAGGACCCGATGCGCCCAGGAGCTTGAACCAATCCTCTTCCGGACTTAACGCTAGCCCAGTTGTCCTCCATAAACATGAACACACATGAACAAACATGATGGCCCGTCTATCTTTTCGTTGCGCTTTTACTTTCATGATCATGATTACGTAGGACAACTTTCCAGCTATGACTGAGCTCATGTTATATGTATCTTTGATGATGTTTATATAAAGGTTATATTAATCCACATGTAGACCACATATAGTAGCTTTGTTTGGTTAGCTTTTTGTTTTGTTTTGTGTGTTTGTGTTTAATGTTTAGGCGAAATTAGTATACAAATGAGCTTTCTTAAGGCGCAGCGCTTGAAGCTTTTAGCGTAGCAGCTTTGACATAATTGCTTAGCAACTAAAATCCTATAAGAACAAAGAGAAACGTTTGAGTTTGAGTTTAAGATAGAGTTAGGCAGCCACAATTTGCATGCAGGGTTGCGGATGGGGATGGACAGTTACAGTCGCAGTCCCATCCAAGTCTCTTCTCCCCAATTTCCTCACCAATTTCCCATACCAAGCCAAAAAAGAAGGAAACAGCCTTAGCAACTCACCCGCTTGCAGCCCTCCGGCGTGGCCGTGAAACTCTTCCCGATCATCGGTTCCGTCTTGAGAAACACGTCGTAGAGTCCACCCTTGAGACTGCCCATCAGGGGACCATTGCGTCCGATCTGGACATTGGAAAAGGTCAGAGCATCGTTGAAGTTCACGGTCCGGTTGTTGAAAACAACGTCCCGAATGGCTCCTTCTAGGTTGACGAAGGTGGGCGCCAGCGGCGTAAAGCTCTCGTGCGGGGGAGCTCCGCCGATGTAGAGACCTCCCGCCTCCCGGGGGAGACTAATGACCGTTGGATTGCCGCTCAGGCTGCGCACATCCTGCAGCTCATCGTCCACCATTAGCTCCAGCCGGCGACCAGTTTTTATCATGTTGATCACGTGCAGTTCACCATCATTCAGCTGACTGATATTGGAAGACAGCTTGACAAAGCTGCGGCCAGAGTTGACCCAGACGTGCAACTGCCCATCCACCAGGCTCATTGAGTAGTTGCCCTTGATGTCCTTGTCATCGTAGTCGGCCAGAACCTCGGGCGGATAGGCGGAGAGGAGCAAGAGACAGTCCGGTTGTAGGGTGCGGAAGACCAGGGCAGTATTCGAGCGCTTCCTCAGCGACTGCGAAGGTAGCTCTAGATACCCGTTCCCCGAGAACCCAGCTCTGAAAGGTGGATCCGAAAAGAAGTGTTTTAGCAAAACATATATAGGAGTTCAAGTTTGTTACTCACTTTGTGATCATGTCCTTGCAGGAAGGCTCTACGCCGAAGTAGCTGGAGCTCTCTAGGGGATCGTACGTCTCTCCGTTCACCTGAACATCCGTCATACAGCCAAGGAAGGGATTATCAGCGCCTGGAGCTTTCGTCGTGCCTGATGTGAAGCCTATGAGTAAACAAAAAGATAACGTTAGAGAACGTTAGGAAGAAACCTTCAAAGGCCCAAAGGATCAGCTTATAATCCTTACCTGGCGGCACTCCACCCAAATAATAGACAGCCTTCGACAAATCTGGTAGCAAATGTGCGTTCACGGGCAGTGTAGGTGCTCCGGAGATGGGACGATCGTTGTTCACGCGGAGCATGCCGTTCTCTGTGCTTCGTTTGGCCGAGAACTCGCGGGCGGCCTCAATTTTAATCCACTGACCCACATTGTACTTCTTGGTGGTGTTGATCTCCAGCTTGGACTCGTCGCCGTAGTCAATGCGGAACATGATGCGACCACGGCTCAATGTTACCGACACCGAGCGATTCTGGGGAAACAAAAAGCGTCAAGTGAGTTAGCAACTAGTGGTGTCATTTGGTGACTTACATTCTTGTCATCAACCGCCAGGAAGAGCAACGCATTCTCGTCCAGAGTACGGAAGGTCATCTGCACAGAGAACAGATTCTTGCGATATGGCCGGGGACGGGTCTTCATTAGCTGCGCATAGCCCAGACCGTTAAAGTGACGTGCCGTCGATGAGGCGGAGGATTCGCGGGCACCGATCATGGAACCACCGCACCGCCCCTCGCTGTCCACAAAGTTCCACAGTCCCAGCGGCTTGTTGTCCACCTCTACATGGTGCACGACCACATTGAGGCCAGGCGTCAGCTGCAGATCCTTCGAGGCGAGGGCACCAAGGGATATGCGATCGTTTCGCGACTGATAGAAGCGCGTGTGCTCCGTGTCTGTAGAGCCAGTGATGGTGACCGGACTGCTGGGTGTCAGCACCCCATAGTTATTCATCCGTCGCACCAACAAGCTGCCCAGATTGAGCGTCCGATTGGCCTCCACATGGTACCAGGCATCGTCGTACTTGGGATCCCGCGTCTGCACCACCATGGGATGGGTGACAGTCGCCGTGGTCCCCCCCAGATTCCAAACAAGGCGCACCCGTCGCTTGTACAACTCCAGGGTGATGTGGCGTCCCTCACTACCCTCCACTTGGATCAGGGGCGAGCTCTCGATGTGGTTCGCCAACGCGAAGCTAAGGCGCAAATTGTTCGAGGTACTCAGGCCATACGATGAGGGCAGATAAGAGCGGATGCACTTAGGACCCAGTGACTCCAGGGAGACATCGATCTGTAAATGGAAGGAACAATGTATAATACTCTGAATACCCGTCCGATTTCCCCACTCACCGCTTGGGCTGCATGTCTCGCCTTGGCTATCTGGTCCCTGAGCTGCTGCAACTGCTTGGCCATGCTATTGTTCCAGGACTCGAACACTTGCTGCTCCTTTGCCGCCTGCTGCTCTAGATAGCTGAGCGACACGTTGGCCAGTCGGAGATTGGTCTTGGTCAGCGATATGTTCTCCTGAGCCATGCCGAGCTTGATGTCCCAGTCGGGCTCGAGCTTGGTGAAGGATTTGCGCATATTCTGAAGCGATTCCTCCGTCTCCTTAGCCTTTCGAAGTTCGGCCCGCATCTGCTCGCCGGTTCTCCTGGCCAGATCCAGGCTCTCCTTGGCATGACGACGGGCCGAACTGTCGGTGAGGGTCTGCAACTGGCTAGAAATGTTGTTGGTGCGTAGCCCTGACTCGAAGATGGTGGCCTTGATGCCCTCCACCTGCTCCTGCTGCTGATGCAGCTTCTCTTTGAGCACGTTGGACTTGTGCATCTGCTTAAGTGCCTCCTGCTGCAGCTGCCTGGAGCGGTGCAACGAGTGCTTGGCTCGCTCGATCATGGAGCTGCCATCGCTGGGATACAGCGTTCTCTGGGCATCGTATACCCGTTCCTTGGCAAGGATAGAGCCTTGACGAGCATCATTGATCGCCTTGGTTATGTTGCTATGCGCCGAGCTGGCCAGCATGGCAATGCGTGCACCATTCCTCGTGGGCTGGAACTGCCGAGCATACTCATTCGACCTCTCCAGCAAACGATCTGCATGTTTCTCCGCCTTTGGCAGCCAGTGCTTGCGCACCTCCCGCTGCTGCTCGGACTTGACGCCGAGGGTGGCATTCAGGAGAACAGTCGCACCGTCCAGCTGGTTCAGTTGTTCGCTCAGCAGAGACTGCCGCTCGAGAGTGAGTCTCGCCAGCTCTTCTCCCTGGTCGAGATAGCTCTGGTTGAGATACTTTCCAATCAGCTGGTCCAGGTCATTCAGCTCGTGATGCGCCTCGGCCGTATGGCCATTCAGGTTGCGCACATGCTCCACTATGTCCTCCGCCTCGCTCTCCACCTCCAGGGTGCGATCTAGCTGTAGTCGCAAGTCCACCACACGATGGTTGGTCTGGTTCAGATCTCGCCAGAGCATCTCCAGCCGACCCCGCTCGTCGAAAGCGGCATCCGAGGCGTTGCCCGAGACGTAGAAATGACGCCAGGCACAATCGTTCGTGCTGCGGATGCCCTGAATTCCCTGATGGTGCTCCTGGATAGCCTGCAGATAGAATCGGGCCTGCTTTAGGGCTGTCGGCAGACTGAGGTGCTGGGCACTCTTCCCGTAGCTCCTCAAATCGAGCAGTGTCTGAAGTATCTCTGCCCGTACCAGGCCCACATCCTGTTGCTGCACCGAAGCGTCATCCTGCATGGCCTTGAGAGCGAACTCCCTCTTTCCGATCGTGGACAGCGCCTTGCGCGACTGGAACTTCATATTTTCAGCATGGGCATCCAGCTTGACGACGCCAGCGGTATCATAGTCCTGCAGCAGTTTCCTGGCCTGGCTGAAGTCCTGCTGCCGCCCTCGCCAGGTGTCGTAGGCTCGTTCGTAATCGGACAACTTGAGGTACGGCGCAGGTATTCCGGTCAGGTCCATGTTGTGGAGCCCGCGACGCAGCTTATGGCCCACCAACTCCACATAGTCCAGGAGTAATAGAGTACAATTGTCGCAAACTGTAGAAAAATGCTCAATTAAAATATATTTACGAAGGAAGGCTAGCTTAGAACTTAGAGCTTAGAAGCTAGAACTATTTACGTAAGACAGTAACTAATGAAAACATAGCAAACAATATTACGCAAAAAGTCCAATGATCAAAAAACAGCTGTTTAGGGACAACAAAAGCAAACCAAATAAAAGAACGATTTATGAGCGTATGACATTAAATTTGCTAACTAACTTATGGCCGTATGACATTACTTTTGGCTAACTTTGTAACTGCAATCATTGCAGAAGAGCATGCTGTGAGAGCGAGAGAAATACGATTACAGAGATGGTCGACTGTTACATTTTAGGTTCAATTTTGTTGCTGTAACACAAGTAGTCACAAATAGTGCTTCTGTTCTTCGACTGAAGGCCGGAAGAATTGATTGGAGGCGGGTTTTAGCACCATTTAGTGTTTTGTCACATGTATATACTACTAGTTTACTCGTATATATTGCATTTGAGGACAAAAGGCGTTTCATATTAATGTCACAAGGATATTATTGCATCTTTGTTGAATTTGAATCACAACGTATCACAACTAAGGTAAAGAAGCTTTCAAAATGATTTCATTTTGGATCATGATTCAATTATCCGGAGATCCCTCTGCTGGAGCACTCATCTAGTTTGAGGAGACGACTCACCTCTGCATCCATTGTCCACCACATGATGTCGTTCCGCCAGACACTTGCTGCACTTGAGGCCTGTGACACCCTCCCGACAATAGCACTGACCCGTCTCCGAGTCGCAGCCCTCGGTTCGGATTCCGTCCGTATTGCAGTTGCAGGCCTGGCAGCTGCTGTTGGGATACAGCGTGGGATTGCCGAAGTAGCCGGGATGGCAGCGCTCGCACAGCCTCCCCGTGTAACCGGGCTTGCACACACAACTCACTTCGCCATCCCAGACATTGCAGCCGCGAGCAAAGTTGCGATTGGTTTCGGGGCACGGACAGGCCTGGCAGCCGTGCGGGGAGTTCGGGTCGCCGTAGAAGCCCTCGGCGCATTGCTGGCAATGATCTCCTCCACTGTTCGCGCGACAGTTCTGAATGTCGATGGGGTTGCAAATAAGATATTGGAACAAGAATAATTTTATTTATCCATCTTTTACCTGACAGACACCCGACTCCTTGTCACAATCGCTGCTGCGTCCATTGCAATGGCAGGGAGCTGCCCGTCCAATCAGGTCCTCAATGAAGACACTATCCACATCGCTGGTGTTGCGCCAGCGATAGAATGATCGTCCAGGGTCCTGGCAGGAGAGACCATCAAAGCGCTTGGGACACTTACAGCGCTCCACACCCTTGGCAATCAAGTTGGTAGAGCCCTCCACAAAGATGGCCGCATCCATGTGGACATTCTGAAGGCTAAGAAAAAAAAAGAAGAAGAATTAAATATGTATCCCATGAGATGCTGGATCCCAGGACTTACACAACTTCCTGAAAATCTGCAAAGGCAAACGCTCGGATGAAAATGTGGCGAATGTTTTGAAGTGCAGCCATGAGAGTTCCCCGATCCACGGCCTGATTATTGTGGTGATACTTCCAAAGGGATTCGTGGAGCGGCACGCGATGCGTCACATTCAGGGAGTACTCGAACTCCTCATACTCGTAGAAGTCCAACAGGAGCTTGGAATGGGCGTGCAGCTGCACCAGCGGGTACTGAGCTAGGATCTGTCTCTCCAGCGGAGTGTGGGCTCCCTCGGTGATGAGGGAGAAGTACAGATAGCCACCGTAGCTGCTAGTGCGATCCCCATAGAACTGAGGCGGCAGCTGGAAGTACAGCGGATGGTAGAACTGCCCATAGGCACCAATGGAGACATTGCCTGTCGATCGCGGCACCAGGCTAAGGTCGTTCATGCGCTGTATCTCCGCATCTTCGCGATGGAAAACTGTACCCTCCATCTGGACCACCACAATGTACTCGTACTCTCCGCTCGGCACGTGCTGGGGACGTATCTGCTGGACACTGAGGTTCCGGGACTCGGGCATGCGTATGTGGCCCCAGGATAGGTCGCTCTGCTGGCACTCACCGGAACGACCGAAGCAGAAGCACCGGGTGCACCCCTCCGGATTGAGGGCGGACAACCCGAAAGTGCTCTGCATGCAGGTGTCACACTTGAGACCCACCACGAGACTCTTGCACGGACACTGGCCATTCGAGTCGCAGGCAATCAAGCCATCCGAGCGGGTGAAAGAGCCGTCCGCATTGCAGCCGCAGCGCCTGCACTCCGGATAGCCAAAGTAGCCCGCGGCACAGGATTCGCAGCTCCTGCCCGCATAGCCCTCTCGGCACTGGCACTGTCCGTCTCCCGGAGCGCACTGCTGGCCAATGGAGCCAATGTGATCGCACTCGCACTCCCGACAGCCCAGACGCGCCTGCCAGCCCCAGGTGCCGGGCACGCACTGCCCACAACCCAATCCGCGGGTGAACTTGGGGCAAATGCAGCGTCCGTTGTGAGAGTCGCATACCTGACCCTCCGCCGTGCAAGCCGAGCAGCGCTGGCAGCCCTCGGTGCTGAATCCGAAGAAGCCCTCGGTGCATTCATTGCAGTGCTGGCCACCCACTCCGATCTTGCAGTCGCACTGACCCGTCCACGGATTGCACTCGTCACCCCGGGATCCGTGAGGGTCGCAGAGGCAGTCGTGACAGCCCACGCCTTGCGTGAGGTTCCAGTGGCCCGCCCGGCACTTGTCGCAGCGTCTGCCCGTCACGTTGGCCAGACAGGCGCACTGTCCCGATCGCTTATCACAGGCCGTTGACAAGGAGCCCACGCTGCTGCAGTGGCATTCTGAAAGAAAAGAGAGGGAAAAGAAGATCAGTACGAGTCTTTGGGGGATCCAAAATATAGAATACATCTAGGACGCAAGGCTCTACTCCCCATTGGTGCTGTTACTCAAAGTACGAGTCAGCTCCAATAAATCCAATTTCTCCAGCTTTCCACTGCTTGGGTTACTGGGCCACAAGCACCATTGCACCATTGTCAGTGGCAGCCAACTAACTGCACCTAAACAGCAACCAACTGCTGCCCCAGACCAACCAGACGACCCACCATCCCGGAGCCCGCAGCCCGCAGCCCGTATCCACCAGGCAGTCATCCAGCCAGTTGGTTTGTGGGTTGCGCGTAGGCAGCACCTCGAAGCCCGCCCACATGTACGTATGCATAGAGTTTCCTATTCGGGCGACAAACGACAAATGCGACGACGGCCCAAGCGGACGATGGACTATGGACGATGGACACAAAAAAACTGTGGGAGACAACGACAACGGAACAAGCCAGACAAGTCTCCACTCTCTCATGTGGACAAGGAGGAGGCACATACGAAAATAAATTCATTCATAAATCCGGTAAAACCAACGCAAAACAAAAAAAACTTTATAGAAAATGTTCAAAATTGATTGCACGATCTAAAAAAAAAACTGAAAAATAGGCGAAAAATTCATACAAATTTCGGAGACCCGTGTTGGTTTTTAAAATAATGAAGTTTGAATGCTCTAATGGGATATCTTCCTATCCAATATCGTACATGGAAGTGTGAAGTGTTTTTTTACGATAGGTATACATTTTTTTGAATTCTTAAGGATCAAAATTTAAATACAATAACTATTTGTTGTTAAGTTATGTCATAAAATGGAGAAGTAAAAATGGACTTATTAAATTTAATATTTAATTAACGATTAAGCCGTTTCAAAGGTTCTCAAAGAAGTTTTTATTTCAGTCATCAGTGTGACTTCATTCAAGGCAAAGAACTCTCGAGCATCCATAGAGTATGCCAAATGGATGTACATATGAAATTATGAACAAGCATAGCACGCGACACGATGGGAGAGGTGATAGTGGTTCCACTCCGTCGCTGATGTCGCGGTCGATGGCGCTGGAGGGATGGGGAGTATGATGATGATGGGGGGAAGGAAGCTGCGCCTCGAGGCACTTGGCATGTTGCAGGGACCTGACAAGACTTGCTCCGGCTGCAGTCGCAGCCCAGCTGTCAAGTGCTCGCCGGCGTTCGGGGATTTGCATTTTCATGAATGAAAGAGTCGAGAGAGAAAGGCTACAACTTCTTCAGACAACGCGCCACCAATAAAAAGTTCAATCACCGACGCCACTCAGATGCTTCGTCTGAGCAAATGATGTCATTAAAGCGTACAATGAGAATCACGACTCTTCGCCTTCTGCACATCCACAAGTACATATAAATATATATAACTAGTCGTGGCTGGTGCTCTGCTTGGAAAAGCGTCTGTCATGCCACAGTTTGGGAGTCACTCGTACACCCACGGTCAACAGTCTGTAGCGTGGGTCTGACTCTTTTGCATTTGTCTGCTAGTCTGCTAGTCTCTCGATTTTTGGTTTATTGACAACTCCGTTTTGTTTGATTTTTTATTAATGAGCCCGTTTTGTTTGTTTTCCGTTTTCCGTTCTTTATTTTGGCTCTTCGGCTATTTTTCTCCGTCTGGTTCGTGGTCGTAGTCCGCGGTCAGAAATCCCATGTGTGGGCAGTCCTAAGAGTACTTCCGTTCGTTCAACGGTTCTCGATTTGAATGTGCGTAAAGCCTGAAGGTTTCCCTGCATTTGCATGGGCGGAAGTTGTAGTGGCTGGATTGCCTTGTGCCTCGTAGGCTGAATGTGCACTTAGATGTAAAGTTTCTGGATGGAAAGGAAGGCAATGAAGCTCTGTCGAAAGTGCAATGGTGGAGAGACTCTCGTGGAATAATCAATCGAAATCCTTCAAATTCAACCTGTCTGCTGTCTTGCTTTGATATTGGCCTTGGACCATGTCATTTCCACTGCTCAACATGGCGTATACACAATGCGACTACCAAGAGTCAACCTGACTGACATTTTCAAACGACCACAAATCAAATGCAATGCAATAAATTAACAACGAAATACTAATAGTTCTGAAAAGAAAAACCTATGAATTGACAGTTTAATTGCACAGTCGCCTGCGTTTCGGCCGGCACTAGAGAATAGGAACAAAAAACAGCAACGAATGGTAGAAATATGCTTGCATTCTCAGCTCACTTTAATTTGGAGCACGTGTTTTGTGGGCAACACAACTTTTGTTACCATCGACATGACAAAATATTGATTAAATGATTTATGTATTCGCTCACTGCGTACTCGGCCAACGCTGCGTATGCGCACTGCAGTTTGCCGCGAAAAAGCACCAACGCATGATAATCAATTATCGTAAATCTCGACTCAACAGAAGAAATACTTGTATGGAAAACGTAAAGATGAATTTAACTATGGGAAATGTCAGATACCCTGCCTGAGGGCGTATTTACAGACAACAGAAAAGTAGCAAAATTGCATTCATCGAATTATATTAAATCATTATAAATTCCAGTCATATTGTAGATCGTAGACTTATAGATAGTGTAACAACTGAAGCTGTTAGTCTCACATAGAGCATATAAATATATTTATACATTATAGTAGCGATTGCTTTTCGATATTTCCACGAGTAATCAAGCGGCAATTAAGAGTCTGTAGGCAACTGCGATAACAATCTTGTGGCAACACGCTGGCTGACAGACGGCCTAAATGAATGAATCAATGGGTGAATGAGTAAGTGAGTAAGTGAGTAAGTGAGTAAATGAATAAATGAGTGGGGCTGAGTTGAGTGATTGACTTACTGACCGGCACGGCACTGCACGAATTTATACAAACATATTGTGCATACATACAAACATACATACATGTACATAAGTTGGCATCCGAAATGTCTGAAATGATGAATACGAGCTCAAATGCCGTTGGTTCAGCATTTGGTAAGAGCGGTTATTGGCGGTTGGCTGTTGGCTCGTTAGCCGCCCACTGTTGACCCACATTTAAAGCCATTGAGCGAGAGCAGGAGAGAGTGGGAGAGGGAGCGAGAGTGGGAGTGGGAGAGGACCACCCGGCTGGAGTCTGTCTCCAAACAGCCTCACGTACTCCCGTAGCCAGCGTTCCGAATTTCGTTTTTCCTCCTCCTTTTTCTGCCTTGGTTAATTAACCCGTTTGCATAAATTTCGGCGCGGCCGGCCACCAGCGGAAGAAACAACTAAATCTTGAACCAGTTCCAGTTCGCTGCGGCTGCTCCTCCGCGTGCCTGTCGGGACGTTATTTATGCGTTCTTTGATCGAACCTGCCCCGGCACGTCATATCACTCGTAGTCGTAGTCGTCGTCCGTAGCACTGCATCTCAATTGTTTTCGTGCCCCTCGTAAATTAATGGACTATTACGCTGGCCAGGAAATTGTGTCTGACTCCTCGCCGGCTCCGTTCTGGCTCCTCCACTTACTCCTCCTAATGGCTGGGAGTATTTGAGAAAATAATAGAAAAATTAATCATAGCATTTTGTTTGCCATAATAAATGGTTCCCCAGTGTTTCGGTGTCGGTGTCGGTGTTGTTGTTGGTGTTGGATCAACGGCGCCCCGATAAGTGGCGGCGTCTCTGAAAGTGGCCACATTAAGTCCGATCTTGTATGCAATTTATACATTTCAGTGCGGATTGAGCTGACTGAGGCCTGATGAGGAAATCGTGTGGCAGATTATAGCTGCCAGCCAGAGCTTGGGGGGAGTCTAGAGAATCGAAATGGAATCTGGACTACAATCTTCATAAAGAAATATATATGTTTGTCGCACTGACTGAATGTATCACCAGCACACAGAGCCCGAACTCGACAAAATTGATTGTTTGGCTGATCAAAATCAATAACATCGTCCCACATCAGAGTACGACGAAGTACAGCGAATAGTTTTCGGGTTTTAACCAAGCTACCTCCTACTGCTATATTGTAGATTCCCATCTAAACGACTCACGTAGGCTACATTTAAGGCCATAAAAAATCATCAGAAGCTCCCGACAAAATGAAAAACATTAGAGAGCCAGAAATAAAACCACTCAAGCCACACACTTGCAAGCTGTTTGCGCAAATAATTTGCTGGCATTATGAACAGAAGACTCTTCAAATGATGTGCCGAAAGCCGATTCGTGTCTCAGACTCAAAAACTAATGTGCATACATTTGCACGCACAAAACTGTCAACAGGGAACTCCACGAAATATGGGGAAAAATAGCAAAAATGAAAATATAACACCGAAGCTGCATACACTTAAGACAATGAGGGTAGATATCCTTCATTGTACTTTTTACTATCCTTTAGAGACTTGAGAGGCTATGGAGAAAACGAAAAATCAGTGATCAATATTTGATGTAAATTATAATTTATGTAAATTCATAATTGTTGAAATATTTTCGACAAAAAATGCCAGTACCCTCTGTCAGGGTGCGACAAAATGCCGCCAACACTTCACACAAAATGAAAACTTAAAAAGCAAAAAAAAATACCTTAGTGTTCGAAATGGGGTGCGCCTGAAATTTGGCACGGAGATCGTTTTCCTAGCCATGCGAATGTGACATTTACAAAATGTTTTTCATATTCCTTAGCAGCCTAGCAGCCAATCCAATCTGTTTGGTCGGGGGTCTTGTAATTTATGTTTCCTGCCTCTGCTCTGCGAAAATGTTTCCATTTTTCGGCTTGCAATTTGCGTACAATATTTTCGTGGCCCGCTCATTAGTCAATGACAGGCAGAAAAGAGCGCGAAGTATTTTTGGCACATTTAAATGCAAATTAATGTGCCATTCATTAACGCCGGCTCCAATCCATCATGCGGGCCATACAGTTTGACAGGAATTGGAAAAGGTCACCGCGCCTCAACTGCTGTTCGATTGCCAAACCAAATCCCCAGTCGCGTGGAGGAAAACCTCATGGGGGTAATACCAAAGTTTATGGGATGGAA